TGAGAAATCACATAGCCATTATGCGACATAGCCATTATGCCAATTGCTGGTCACCTTTTTTTTTTAAGAAAAGATTTTATTTTTATTTATTTATTTATTTATTTGTTTGTTTGTTTGTTTATTTTTTAATTTGACCCAAGAGAGAGGGAAAAAGAGAAAGGAAACCACCAAGTTTGGGACTCAAACCGTGGCTGGTCATGTGAGAGTATCCAGTGCCTTAACCACCATGACACCTGCTAGTCCCCCATAGCAAATATTTTAAAAAATTATTTATTTAGTTTTATTTATCATTATTATTTTTTAAAATTTTGCTATAGGACATGTGTACTCACCAGAGTACAGAGAGAAAGACAGAGAGAGAAAGAGAAAGTGAGAAAGCAAGCCATCAGGTTGAAAACTTGAACTGTGGTTGGCTATGCTTAGTACAGAGTCTTAATCACAATGCTACCCACTGGCCCCCCAGGGCAAAATTTAAAAGGAAATAATTTTGTCAGAGAGTATGTGCATTCACCAGAGAGAGACAAAATGAGAGGGAAAGAAAGAAAGTATGGCCCAGGGGGAATGGGCACACCGCAATCTCTTCTCCATCTCTCCTCCTTTAGGAATTTCAGGCACACATGCTCACTGTGTTTCTCAAGGTTCTGGGTCTGGGACTTAACCTGAACATTTGATCACATGGAGTCCTGATACCTTAACCACCATGCCACATGCTGTCCGTAAAGCCAAATATTAAATGCGGATATTAAATTGCTTAGAAAACCAAGTGTGCTGGAAGTAATTTTAATTGTTCTACTGTATCCCATGCTTTTTTTTGTACTGCAGAGGTTGGAATCCTGAGAATTAAAGTTATTAGACACTTGCCTCTGGAATTCTGGATGCAATTTGTTTTCTTTCAATGACAAAAATTCACAAGATTAGGAAGGCAAACAAAAACGGAATTTTTTTGCAAAAATTCTAACAATGCCTTTGCCACTGAAGGTACTTTGTAAGGGTCAAGTTACAAATTACATGATAATATTATAAATAATTAAAACACATAACAGGAGCCAGCAGGTGGTATAGTGGTTAAGGCACTAGACTCTTGTATGGTTTAAGTCCTGGACCTGGCAACTTGAAAATCATGCTAGGTGCACGTTATGTCTAAAATCCAAGGAGGAAAATGGAGAAGGGACTGCAGTGTGGTCATCCCCCAAGGGTGTGATTTCTCATTTTTTCTCTCACTGTCTCTCTTTCCTTTTCTCTCTGAAGAATGCATATGCCCTATAGCAAAAAAAAAAAAAAACACAAACAAAAAAAAAAAAAACCACACATGGCATGGTACATCTTGAGTACTTTCTCAATTTGCAAACTTAATGCAAAGCACAGCCAAGAAACAGATTTTTTTTTTTAAATTCATGACAGAGCACACGTGTGCATGTGTTATCTGAAAGTGAGAGAAGACAACCCTTAATAGGGTTTGGCCATGCCACAATCACCTCTCTGCAGTCCTCCAGTCTGGTGGATATTGGGCACTTGAGGATACTGGGTATCATGACATATAGTTTTATAATAAATTATAGTTCCAGAACTACATTGAGAAATGATATGGATTTCATGATGAAGTATTTTTAGTTTACTTTAGTTTTTTTAATTATTTTATTTATTCATTCATTTATTTTAATTTGACCAGAGAGAGAGAGAAAGAGAGAGGGAAAGTGAGGAAGCAAAACACCAGGTCTGGGACTCAAACCATGGCCGGCCATGTGGGAGTGTCCAGCACCTTAACCACCATACCACCTGCTGGCCCCCAGTTTTTAAAATGTGTTTGCCATAGGATATGTGTGCACATCAGAGACGGTGAAAGGGAAAGTGAGAAATGACTCCTAAGAGGGATGGCCACACAGCGATCCCCTCTCCTCCATTCTCCTCCTGGAATTTTAGGCACCAGGTCCGGAACTCAAATTGTGATCAGTCATGTGGGAGTCCAGCACCTTAACTACACCACCTGCTGGCCCTCATTTTTAATTTTTAATAAGTCAAAGCTACTAAAATGTAATGTTGGGGCCAGTAGGTGGCATGGTGGTTAAAGTACTGAACGCTAGACACTCCCACATGGCTGACTGCTGTTTGAGTCCTGGACCTGGTGGCTTGCTTTCTCATTTTCTCATTTTCCCTCTCTCTCTATCTCTTTGCCTCTCTCTATTCAAATTAAAATAAATGAATGAATAAATAAAAATTTTAAAAATAAATAAAATGAAGTGTTTATGACCAAAAAAGGGGGTTAGAATGTTAAGTTGTAGAGGGAACCAGCAGTTAGTGTAATGGCTATGTCGCTGGACTCCCACGTAGTCAACCGCGGTTTGCGTCCCGGACCCTGTGGCTTAAAACTCATGCCGGGCGCGTGTGAGTGTGTGCCCAAGATCCCGAGAGGAGAATGGAGGAGAAGGGATTGTGGTATGACCATCCCCCCTGGGGGGGTGATTTCTCACTTTCTATCTCTATGTCTCTCTCTGTCTGTCTGGTGAGCGCACACGCTCTATAGCGAAAACCTCTTAAAAAAAAGGGGTGGGGGTTAGAATGTTAAGTTGTAGAAAAGTGGATTTCTTCCTACTAAGGAAAAGAGAAGACATCAAAAAAAAAAACTAAAAATAGTGAGAAAAGTAATGAAAATATCTGAAGGAAATTCATTTGCTCTGCAAGAATATTTAAAGTTTCAGGGACGAGCAGATGGTGGAATGGTTACATTGCTGAACTCCCACGTATTTGATGGTGGTTCAAGTCCTGGACATGGTAGCTTAAAACTCAAGTTGGGCACATATGCGTGTGTGCCCAAAATCCGGAAAGGAAAATGGAGGAGAAGGGATTGCGGCATGGCCATACCCCCTGGGGCGTGATTTCGTGTTTTGTGTCTCTCTGTGAGTCTCTAGTGAGTGCATGTGCCCTACAGCAAAATTCTTTCTCAAAAAAAGAATATTTAAAGTTCCAAATCGCTTTCTCTGAAAACTGAACAAGAAGAAAATAATCTGAGGAAAGTCATATTTCACAAAGTCAGTATGATGTTGGGACCAAGTGCTCCATGTCTGAAACAGGATAGTATCTTTTCCAAAAATCCTTCTACTGCATCTCAACAAAGTCAAGAGTTAAATTTCTGTTGCTACTGAACACAGATAATTAGCCTCAGGTAGATATCAAAAGCCAAATCTCTTTACCAGAAAGAGGTGTGAAGAATTTAGTCTGGAGTTTCAGAAGACCTTTAGTCAAAAAAAAAGAAAAAAGATATGGAGAAGCAACTGCTGAAATTCTCATTGCTTTGTTTTGATGGAGTGCTGCTTTCCTCACATAAACGTAATCACAAACATGTAAATAAAACTTAATTTTTTTTAGTTTTCACTATAGGGTGTGTACACTCACCAGAGACAGAGGGGGAAAGTGAAAAATCAATCCTCAGGGAGGATAGCCATGCTACAATCCCTTCTCCTCCATTCTCTTCTTGGGGTTTTGGGAACTCACACACAATCTCCCAGAGTAATTTTCAAGCTCAGTTCAGACTCTAACTGCCCAAGAGTGGGCTATATGGGATCCAGCCACCTTAACCTCCATGTCACTTGTTGGGCTTTAAAACTGTTTTGAGTTTCGAAAAAACTCTTTACTAAGAACTTACTAGTTATGAAGTAGATCAGATTTCCTTTATCTTCTACTTCATATATACTGTTTGCAAAATTAAACTAGACAAAATTGGCCTAGACAATTTCAAAAAGCTTCTAGTTTTATTAAGTAAAGATCAAATTCTTCCATCAAACAATCTGGATGGAGAAAATGCTGCAGTGTGAACTTATTCCATTTCTTTCCTGAGGGAACCCAGGACAGGACAAATTCAATGATAATGCAGCTGAGAAAGACCTCTGGAGATACTCTCTCAAATGTTTACTTTTCAATCCCCACCAAGAAGACATAACAATTATAAATGTATGAGCCTAAGAGTGATTGAAAACACTTGAGCAAAATCGAATGCAATTCAAATGGTAATAAAGACAACTCTCACTAATAAAACTAGATTTTCAGGAACCAGCAGTTAGCTTAATGGCTATGTCGTTGTACTCCCACGTAGTCGACCGCAGTTCGCTCCCGGACCGGGTGGCTTAAAACTCACGCCCAGCGTGTGAGCTTGCGTGCCTAAGATCCCGAGAGGAGAATGGAGGAGAGGGGATTGCGGCGTGACCATCCCCCCTGGGGGGTGATTTCTCTCTTTCTGTCTCTCTCTCTCTCTGTCTGGCGAGCACATGCGCCCTATAGCAAATAAATAAATAAATAAAACTACATTTTCAAAAGTCAGTAAGCAAGGGCCAGCAGGTGGCGTGGTGGTTAAGGGCACTGGACTCCTACATGGCTAACTGCGGTTCGAGTCCCAGGTCTGGTGGCTTGCTTCTTGCTCGCTCACTCGCTGGCTGTCCCTATCTGGTCAAAATAAATAATAATCTTTTAAAAAGTCAGTAAGCATAGAGAACATCCAATAAGATCAATCATCTTAATGTAATAGTTTTATAGAACACCACATTCACAGGTGCAGAAGAGAGAAAAACTGAGAGAAGGGATAGAGAAAGAGAGCGCTTGCGTAAGCGACCTGACCTATGCGACTACAGCTCTGGGTTTTGCTGGGGCTTTGGGACCGTTTTTTACTGCCAGCCTTAAATCAAGTCACCACCTGTTTGGGTACATGCTGTATACTGAGCACCTGCTGTGTGCTTAGAACACATATTAGGCGCCTGCTGGTGCCAAGACTACTTTCTACACCCTGTCAGGGCCTCCTTCACGACAAGCACGTACTCGAGCCGCGAGCGCGCCTCACTCCGCTCCCGGAGCCTCAAAGCCCCTCCTCCGCCTCCCCTTCTAGTCTCTAAACGCGCTCCCGGAGCTCCAGCGCCCGCGTTTGCGCACCTCGCTCGGCTTGTATGGGCTGGAGCCAGCGCTCAACGGCGGACTACATTTCCCACAGGCCTCCGCGCGGAGCTCCCTTCCGCCTTTCTTGCTGGTGTAGGCTCCGAGAGGTGAGTCGGTGGCGTGCACTGAGGAAATGGGCGCGGGGGCGGCGCGGGGGCGGCGCAGATCTCTGTGCGAGGCGGGTTGTAGTGACTGTAGACTTAGCGACGCTGACCGGGCCCTGGGTGTCCTGCTGCGTCCCCTGCCCTTCCGCTTCGGGGCTTCACAGATTCTGAGGCCCGGAATGGCTCGGCGTGCGATGTACGAATGCCAGCGTGAAGGCCCCTAAACAAAAAGGCGCAGTCCTGAAAAGAACAGCTACGTACTCGGAGCGCCGCCGCTTTCCCCGGGCTCGCTCCTGAGGAAACTGCGGGGAGCTCCGGCACAGATTCCAGCCCTGCCTTTGTGTCCGCTCGCCTTTCTCTCTGATACCGAGAAGGCTCTCTCTTATTTCCGTCGGGTTATTTATGTGGTAGATAGTGGGAGCAAGTGTGGCAGCGGGGGTGTGTCCTGAGTCACTCAGGCTGCGTTCCAAGAAAGGCCCGCTGTCAGCTCTCCCATCTCCTTTCTCAATCCTGCTTGATCTTTAGGAAGGCGGAGGGAAAGAAAATTATTGTTGCTCACAGGAAAGTTAACGTCAAGATGAGTTTATGTTTCCTCTTTGTTCCATGAAGTATCGCTTTTATTTTTCTAGGCATTGGACATTTGCTCCCATCTTTTGTGAAGGACTGGAAAAATCAGCCCGCACTGTAAAGAGAAGCAGTAGCCTTGTCATTAATTAGACTGCAAGGGAAGACAAAGCCAACTGCAAAATTAATGAAAAATATTTCTCGGGACCAGCAGATGGCGTAGCGGTTACATCGCTGGGCTCCCACGTGGTTGACCTGTGTTCGAGTCCCGGACTGGGTGGCTTTAAACTCTGGCGAGCGTGTATGCCTGTGTACCCAAGATCCCGGGAGGAGAAGGGAATGCAGTGTGGCCATCTCCCATGAGGGGAGGGCAGTTTCTCACTTTCTGTCTCTCTCTCTCTGGCAAGAACATGTGCCCTATAGCAAAAATCTTTCCAATAATAATAATAATAATTTTAAAAGAAAATATTATTTCTCAGGTTATAAAGCAGTTGTAAAATGCATAACAACTCCAAGAGATGATAGCTTTCTTACCAGTGATGCGCCAGACTTGCTTTGCTATTTTAATTTTATTATTACCTAATGTCTAGGCCACTCTAGTGATAACAATTGTGACAGCACTAAATATCAGATTAATCTCTGCATCTCCTAATCTTACTTCAGAAACCAGCCTTTCCAAATCCTAGATCCCCTTAGCTCCTCCTCACAATCCTTTGCCTGGAACTCAACCCTTTACAAAAGCTTTTATTCTCCTCTCCCTCATCTGTGATATTTTGCCCATTCCTGTGAAATTTCCTCCTCTGTAAATCAATAAATATGATTTTGTTAGACTATATGGGCTTGTTCCAGTCAGTGTAGTTGCTTATGTGTTAACACCTAAACTGTTCTGTTCATAGACCTGGTTCTTTGGCCTTCCTCAGTGAATGAGGGGATGATGAAGGTAGATGGCTCCCCTCCCACTCCTCTCCAGTGGATATTCCCAGGAGGAAACATTTGACAGTCATTTAATTTCTCATGTAAACTGCCTCTTTCTAATCATTTACATGGTCTACAAGTAAACCTAAAGAGAAGCTAAATGCAGCACTTTAATTTAGGCTTCAATTTGTTGAGATTACAGTTCAGATGGAATCACAGGCTGTGTCTTTGATTACCACAGCCCTGGGTTCAATGCAGGGAGATAGGAGATAGTTTGATTAGTGACAGTGTTTTCTGCCTTTTTTTTTTTTTTTTTTTTTTTTTAAAGGTTTTTGCTGTAGTGCCCCTGAACATGCCTGAGAGAGACAGAAGAAAGTAAGAAATCACCCCTCTCCCTAGTGGAGATGGCCAGGCAGCAATCCCTTCTCCATTCTTTTGTGATTTGGAACATGCACTCACACTCCTTAAAAGCCCTGCTTTTTATTTGACTAGAAGGGACAGAGAGAGAGGGAAAGTGAGAAAAAGCCTGGCTTTTAAGGAGTGGTGGTGTGGTAGGGTTTTTAGGGTATAGGTCTGTGTTAACAAGGGAAGGGACTATTAGAAAGAGAAGAAAGAAAAATTTAAAAAGTGATTTGAAGTTTTTGACACCATGAATTTATTTTAGGCCAATATTTGTGTGATTTTATGAGAGGCACATTGGTGTAGTGAAAATAGTATGGGTTATGGAACTGAATTGCCAGTGTTCAAATCCTAAATCTGCCACTTAGAGCTGAGTGAGTTTGGGGCAGTTCATCTTAGCTCTTTGTACCACAGTTCTATTATTTGTAAAATCAGGATAATGATAGAACCTACTGTATAGGATTGCTCTGAAATATATAAATGTATGTATGTAAACCTCTTAGATAATGCATAACACTTCATTTTAATTGTCACATTTTTAAAAATAATTATTTAATTTAATTTGTTACTACTATTTTTTAATTAGACCTGAGAAAGAGAGAGAGAGAAAAGGAAAGAGAGAAAGCAAGCCCTCAGGCCTGGGACCCAGACTGTGGTGGGCCATGTAGAAATCCAGTGCATTTAACCACCATGCTACCTGCTGGCCCTTAATTGTCACATTTTAATTTTTTAAAAAAATATTTTAACTTTATTTATTTATTTTATTTGACCAGAGAAGAACCAAGTGAGAGAGAGAGAAAGATAGAAAGTGAGAAAGCAAGCTGCCAGGTCCAGGACTCGAATCGTGGTTGGCCATGTGGGAGTCCAGCACCCTTAAGCACCACACCATCTGCCAGCTTCTCACATTTTAATTTTCTGTCTTTCTTCATCACCCAGATCCAGAAATTTTGAGAATTTTGCCACATTTTTTATTTTCAGTCCTGTACCTTCCTGTTGTAAATTGTTAATAATCAAGAATTGTCTTTCAAAGTGATCCTTTGACCTTTAATAGTTAGCATTATAAGACAGAGCAGGGCTGAAAAGTCTTTTTTTAATTTAATTGGGTGCCAGTGGGTGGCATGGGGATTAAGGACATTGAACTCCCACATGGCCAACCATGGTTCAAGTCCTGGACCTGGCAGCTTGCTTTCTCACTTTCCCTCTCTCTCTGTCCTGTCTGGTCAAATAAAAATAAATAAATAAATAAATAAAGTTAAATAAAACAATTCTACAAAAATACTTATTTGTATTGTTATTATTATTGGAGAGATTTTTGCTATAGGATGCATATGCTCACTGGAGAGACAGAGACAGAGAGAATGTAAGAAATCATATCCCAGAGGAAATGGCCATGCCATAATTCTTCTCCATTCTCCTCTTGTGATTTTGGGAACACATGCAGATGTGCTTGTGTGATTTTCAAGCCTCCGGGTCCGGGTCTTGAACTGTGGTTTGCCATGTGAGAGTCTAGCACCTTAACTACTACACTACCTGCTGGCCCCTATTATTATTTTAAAATTTTCTATAGGGTATATCTTCTCACCAGAGGGAGACAGAGACAGAAAAAGAGAGAAAAAATAAGAAAGCAAGCTGCCAGGGCCGGCAGGTGGCATGGTGATTAAGGGCGCTAGACTCCCACATGGCCGACTGCGGTTGGAGTCCAGGACCTGGTGGCTAACTTTCTCACTTTTCCTGACTTTTTTTTTTTCTCTCTCTCTTACTCTGTCCCTCTCTGGTCAAACTAAAATAAATAAAAGAAATTAAAAAAAAATTTTTTTGGAGAGGTTTTTCCTATAGGGTGTGTGCGCTCACCAGAAAGACAGAGGGAGACAGAGAGATAAGAAGTGAGAAATCACCCCCCAGGGGCGATGGCCATGCCACAATCCCTTCTCCTCTAGGAGCTTGAGCATGCATACACACGTGCCCAGCAAATTTAAGCTATTAGGTCTGGGACTCGAACCGCAGTCAGCTACATGGGAGTTCAGCGACATAGCCATTATGCTAACTGCTGGTCCCTTAAATAATTCTTTTTTTAAAAAAAAGATAAAGAATAAAAAGAAAGAAAGCCTCCAGGTCCAGGACTTGAACTGGCCATGTGGGAGTTCAAGGCCTTAACCACCATGATGACACCTGGTAGCCCAAGAACCCTATTGTTTCTCTCTTTTTTTTTTTTATCATTATTATTTTAATTTGAGGGGTGATTTTTTTTTTTCATCCAAAATACACTGTGCATTGTCTCAATCAAGTACATCCACATATATGTTCTCAGCAAATAATTTTCCAATTCTTACGTCCTGCATACCTTGCCCTTTGTCTTGCCATCCCTGATTCCCCATCCCCCACCCTCTACTATGTCCCACCTTCCCCCCCCTTTTTCCCTGGCATCCATGGTTGCCCTCCATACCTTCCTCCCCCCCCCCCTTTCCTTTGTTTGCCCACTGAACT